TTTTTTTTTTTTTTGGTATTATGCAAAATCAGGGAAGAGAAGGCATCAGTGATCCTCATTGCCCTGAACTGGCCGAATCAACCTTGGTTTCCGGACCTCAGGGAGATGCTGGTGGCTCCGCCTTGGCAGATTCCCCTCAGAAAGGACCTACTGTCTCAAGCGGACGGCTCGATATGGCAACTGTGGAGCCTGCACGTGTGGCTACTTCAGGGATCCTAGAGGAGCTAAGCCTCTCCGTGTGATTGACACGATCTCAGAGTATTGTGCACCCTCTACTAGGTGTTTGTATGCACTTAAATGGGGAGTGTTTATTAAATGGTGCTGTGATGAAGATATCGACCCGCCGAGCTGCCCCGTGTCAGATGTTCTACATTTTCTGCAGCACAAGCTCGATAACGTGAGCCTGCCATCAACGCTAAAGGTTTATGTGGCCGCTATTGCTTCGTTTCGTTTCCCAATTGATGGGCAAACGATTGGGAAGCACGTGCTGGTGGTCAGATTTCTCAGGGGAGCAAGGAGATAACATCCCCTATGCCCGCCTTCAGTGCCGCCGTGGGACCAAGCACTGGTATTGAAAGCTCTTTCTCTACCCCCGTTTGAGCCCCTGGATTCTGTTGCTATGAGGGACCTTTCCCTCAAAACTGCTCTGCTTCTTGCCCTTGCTTCGGCTAAGCGCATAGGAGATTTGCGCATGCTCTCAGTGGATGAGAATTGCAATCGTTTTGGACCTGGTCACTGCAGTGTTACTCTCCGGCCCAAACCGCAGGTCAATTCTTTGCCCGCTTGTCTGCTAACCCGTCGACCTCTCATGATGCTCTCATAAATACTTTATCTAGATCAGATCTCAGTTTTGTTCTAAGTTCACTTTCTTCACCAGTACAATAATTTCACTTTTTAACATTCTGCTTCTACGTCTTCAAAAACTTTGCGGCTGAAGGACATGTCGGATTGCCATCACGATCTAGATCAGATCGCAATTTTTCAAAGATCGGTCTAACAACACTGTTCTGTGTTCTCGTTTTTAACCTAATTCACTGTTTACTAATGGTCTTGTATAATTATTAATTGCGTTCTGTTATGGTCATATTTCAATTTCAATTTTGCTGAGCACACCCCAAACATAGTCAAATCTCATGAAGAGATTGACTACGTTGGAAGTAGTCTGAAGGGGAGTTGACTGGGCAGGTGAGAGCAGGAGATTTCAAAAGTCCAAAAATAAGGGCCACCCTAATATATATATATATATATATATATATAAGGTGAATTTAAATACAACTCTTTAGATCAAAATATTTTAGATCATTCAGTCAAGTGTAATCAAACTGTTTCCTGGTATTATAAAAAGTAGTATTTTGCTATAATAAAAAGATATTATAGAGACCTAAGATGCACAATAGATAGATCATAACTGCAATAATGTCTAACTTGGTGGACTAATTAAAAACTTAAAACTTAATACAAATGAATTTATTACAGACTCACGGCTGTATGTTGGTGACTGTGTTGTCAATTGGGAAGGAGACACCATCTGTGGGGTTCAAAGTTAAAATGATCTGGCAAGAAGTTGGAGCTACAATGAAAAGGCATTTACATTATTTTTCTCTATGCTGTACAAAAGTTAACTGTGCATCAATCAGGAATCCAGTCAAAGCTGAAATCATGGGTTTAGTACTCACCAAGGGTGCTGGGAAGAGATGGGCATTGCTGATGCTGCGGTAGGTTTTTAGAGTAAAGGCCTGTCCCAGGACGGAGAGGGCTCAGCATTGGCTGAGGGGTGTAGGGTGGGGGATGAAAACTAGGGCTCAGTGGGTGGTCTGTCAGATAGTTTGGCGAGCGCAGCTGGCTGGGGTAACCGCCCGTGCCACAGCTTCTCTGCAAACCCTGGGTATCCTTATTATCGGTGCATTGTGGAGAAGATAGTCGAGGCAGAGTTGGACTTGGGATGATGAGGCAGTTTAAAGGGTCAAGATGACAAGACCTCTTAGCTGCACCTTTACGAGTCTGTGACCTCTCGGCCTAGGAAAGACAGAAACACTGAACTTTGAACAATGATGATAAGTCATCTTGGCATATCCACTGTATATTGGTATTATATTGTTATCTACTACAACATTACTTGATGTGTAGAGGCTTGGGGGCCTAAAACATTTGTTACAGCGACTGGGACAGACACAGGCATGATCAGTGGGGACAGGTTTGCTCCTTTGGACTTTTGTCCTGATGCCCCCTTCTGTCCTTCATTCTGTGACAAAAAAAAATAGATAAGATAAAGTGTCAGTGCAAGTATTATGCTTATTTTCATATTTTTTGATTATGTCACAATAATACTTAAGACAATGTCAGCACCAGTGTTGAGTTGGATGGTTGTGAATTATGCTCCTCCTCTGTTCCACCAGAGACGCTCTCTTGAGAACATGAGGGCTGCGATTGAGCTCTACGTATAGATGAAGTTCTTTTATATGTTCTACAGGGAAACAAACCAGATTAAATTCAACTTTGATTTTATCATAGACCTGATGATTTAGAATATCTATATATTCAGAAGATCTTATGTTAGGTCTGCTAGCAAACATACAATACCATAGTGGAGGCAGCTCTATAAAGGAATAGTTTCCCAAAAATTAACATTTTGTCATGAATTACTTTCATGCTGCTCTTTTCTAGTGACTAGCAGCTGTCAAGCTCCAAAACTGACAAAAAAAGCTCTTTAAAAGTACCATAAAGTGGCTCAAATGACTGAATTTCAATAGTTAGGGTTCCCACAGTTGTGGAAACCACAAAATAACAGCAAATTTGTACAATTGTGATTTCAAGGTTGAAAAAAGTCTTTAAAAACCAAAAATAAAACTTTTGATACATATTTTTCTACTTTTTCAGTTTTCTGAAATATTACATATTACTATTACATAGATAAAAAATTGCCCTCAAGTCAGCGTGATAACTTTCTAACCTGCAACCAGAGTTTGGTTCCTCTCCTGTTGATTTCATAATTGGCTCCTGAGTAAAGAAATGCAAAATTGATTATCTCTTCAAAAAATGGTGACATGAAAACGTGCAATGTTGTGTACCTTTTGTAAAAACTGGTTGCCGAGGTAAGTGCTGAAAGATGCAAGTGCCACCTGACTAGGTGAGACGAGGGAGGAAGAGCGTGATCGTGAACGTTTATGACAAGTGGGCTGAGGAACAGGCAGAGGAGGAGTTGGAACATTAGACAGGACGTCCTTAGAGCAAAACTTCCTCTTCCTACTGTTGGGCAATGTTGCAGGAGGAGAAGCATGTACAGGATTGGCAAGGTTACAGTCTAAATCACTCTTTGGTTTAGGGTATAATTCAGTGGAATGATTAAAACTGGAAAAGGTATGCCGTCGCTTTAACTTGTTGGTAGGTCTGGGCTCCTTTAGACTGTGTTTCAGCAGTATGGGACGATGCTGCTTGGGGCAAACTGAAGCTCGTGGCCTCATGGGACAACCCACGCTAGTGATAGGTGCCTCTCTGTTAGGCTGAAATGACAGCATCTCTTTCCATTCTTCAGGGTAAGATTCATGAAAATCAAGACCATGGACATCAAATGGGTTCTGTGAAACCACTGGATTTTCTTCAACAGCGTCAATACCCAGGGTCCACTGGGTGGAGTTTAGCATCTTATTGCTTTCTTTCACCTTATAAGATTCACTGGCAGATGCTAAAGTCCAGCTTTCTTGACATGTTGAATGTTTCACCTGAGAGGGATGGGCATCTTCTGCACAGCGCCTCATCCCAAGCTCTCCCCTGCCATAAGAACTGAAGAGTTTTCCAGAGTAACTGGGATCCTTTAGCACAGGAGCTGCAACTGGCTTTGGCTGAGAGGTAAAGAGATAGTCGGACACAGCCGTTGGCTCCCACACTGAGGCCGGCAGGTCATAGCTGGAGGAGGAAGGAGACGTACGGTAGACTCCGTGTCGAGAGGCACAGTGATGTTTTAAGGAGTTTTTGTCATTGTAGATTTTGTGGCAGCCAGACTGAGTACAGTAATAGGTCTTCCTCTTGTAGTGGGTCATCATGTGGGAAGTGCTACGGAGAAAAAAGGAAACACTGACACTGTGATACGATCTTAGTAAAAAACAGGATTTATCCATGCTGCAATTCCAAGTTGTTAATCTAAATCTACATTTTTTGACTGACCTCCCACACTCTCAGTTTTGTAAGTGATGACATTTTTTTCAGTTTTTTTTTAAGACATTTAGACCATTTACATAGTAAGCAGGGCTTGAAAATAAGGATGGCGAGAGAGCACTTTGGGTCAGTGTTGTGTGCTCCACTGAAAATCGAACATCTTTTCAAAATTGTTTTTTGTGATGTATTGTACATTGTTTTTGTACATTCTAATGATTTGTTGCCAAGATAATGTTATTTGACTAACACAAACAGTTTAGTTGAAAACATTTTGTAGTAGTTGAAAACTACAAACGAGTCAATAATGTTTTGCATACCATCATTTTCTAGTAATTATGATTTATATATTATATATGTATAACTTACAGCTTGTTGCAAACTTTGTGAAATATAAAAATACATTATTAAATTTAAAAACTCAGATGCCAGCATGTGTGATACTTACAGCTGATGATGGTGTTTAAATGCTTTCTGACAGACACCACAGATTTGAGGCCCGTCCTGTCTGTGGATCAAGAAGTGTGTTTTAAGTGCACTGGTGGTTTTAAACTCTTTCCTACAGACATGGCACTTATTCACCGAGACTCTGGTTCTCTTCCCTGAGCCCACGGGTGTCAGGCGCTCAACATCCTCTGCTTTAAGACAGACAGAGGTTGATGGGCAGGATGTGGAGGTCTTTCTGCTTTCTGTATCAAACGAGAAAGACATAAATTCTGGTTTGGACATTCAGAAGAACACAAAACAGGAAGAGCACAGAGATTGAACTTGATATTTTTCTTACTTGAATCAGACATGGTGTCTGGCTACAGCTCTGATTCTATGCTTGGCACCGGCAGGTCTGATGGTGGTGGTATGGTGTAGGTCGCATCACTGGACACATTGTCGGTCGATGAGAGCAGAGACAGACTCAGATGTGGAGGGTCTTCCATCTCCATTTACAGTTCAGTTGGGTTCCTGTTACTCAGGGGAGAAATGCAATTCAGAAAATTTAATAAATCATACATAAAAAAAGAAATGAAATTCGGTTATTTAGAACCACTGTTTAATAACTATCAATTTCGGTCAAAAACGTAAAAACGTCTCACTAACACAATCTCGCGAGATAACGTTACCTCGAAAGGAACAAGGGAAAGATATTTAAAAGAAAATGTAATAAACCAACGGAAATGGAGGTAAAACGATATCATTTTAACAGGTAACGTAAAAGCATTTTCCCCTGAATATGAACAGCTCATAATTCCTGTGTGGGAAGGGAGTTAGTAGTCTCTCTAAAGTCATTTTAAAAATGCATGCAAACCTAACATCGTAATGTATAACACAAATCGCATAAAGCGTACATGTAAAATGAATAAGACTATTTAATGGTTTAAAAATCAACATATACGTCTTTACCAAGCTAGTTGCGTGTCCCGTCAAAAGTTTGCTAATTACTTAACGTTATTACATGCTAACAGTGCAGAGGCCAGTAGAGCGCGGCGAGCGTTATTGAGCGGGTCTTGAAGCGTCTGTTCGATTCAAGTTGATTCGAGGAATCGATTCATTCAGTTGAGCAAAACGTACAAACAAACTGTTGCAAGAGTGCAGTAATCTTACTTTTTCTTTTTTTTCTTTTTCCTCTTTTTTTTTTTAAATGTCGTTTTGGGCTTGGGCTGATGATTATTTCAGCTGTCAGTTGGGTTGTTTAATTCATAGGTGAATCAAAACACGAAAAACAAGAGGGGAGAAAAATAGAAAAGCCTACAGGTAAAAATGTACACTGATCTAATTACACTGAATAGATTTACTTTAAAAAAAAAAAGGAACACTGTAAAAAAACACTTTTTTGTGTACAAACATATTTAGACTTTTTAGTTTTTGTTTTTAATGTGCTTCTCCTTTTGACAGTCAAATATAAATTATGGATAATTCCTGCTTGATCTTTTGACAAATAAATAAAACATACTACGAACAAACAAACAAATAAGCAAGCAAGCAAGCACAGGTGCCAGGATACAGGGGATAGGTGAAAAAATCAACTAGAAATCATCCTATGCAATGGCATTTGTAATTGAGCCCATTTTATTAACAGTTCTCATATTTATTTGCATGGTACTGGTATACAAAAATGTATAAATAAATTGTATGGTAATGTGGCTGAATATTTAAGATATTTAAGATTTGAATACTTTTTTTTTTTTCACCATTTTCCGCGAAATACCTCAAATGAAATGGGTGGAATTGGCAGAAGGGAATAATTAGGGGTTGGTATAAAATAAATGGGTACTTATAATAATAAGTACTTTTGATTAAAAATAAATGCATGTACAAAATTCTAACTGATTTCCATGTTTTCCATTAATGCAACAAACCATACAGTTACATCTCAATCCTAGAGGAAGTTATAACAAAAGCACTCTTTGTACTTGATATTGATTTATAGTTTAAAGATAACTATAGCTTGAATAATTATATATTTAACCTTAATTTGTAGCAGCTAAATGTGGGGAAATTGTCAAAAGTCTGTTGAACTGTTGTGAGAACAGTTTGATAGTAAAGTATGTGAGAACTGACTGATCTTTTCTCTGACATATTGCCTGCGTGTAATTAGTTGCATTCAGTGATCACTTTCCCAGATAAAAAGGATGATAATAGTTGGTCATCTCAGTATAGGCCTAATGATTTAAAAGGCTTACTCAGACCTCTCCCTTATAATGTCTCAGTAAATTATACACGTAATATAAGAAGACAGAACTAGGGGGACGCACTGTGCTGAACAGGCGTGGAAAATGGTTGATGATGCTGACAGCTTTACAGTTTCTGACTGGGGAGGTGGAGACTTGTCTTTATCCAGCATCGGATCTCTGCACACAATAGACCTCTACACACCACCACCCTCTAAAACCTACAAATACTCAAAACGAATGCCTCAACTTTTAAAAAGTGCAATTTGACCAAGAAGGAAGAAGAGATGTGATAAAGTAAACTACAACTGATGTTGCATCCATGAAGAAAATCCCAACTGGTTCTAAACAGGTAGGAGCTCCAGATGTGACTTGAGCATTCAGTTTAGGATTTGTTTAGGCATTTTTCTACATTTTTTAATATGACTAATTTAAGTGTGTGTGTGTGCGCGCGTGTGATTACCTTTGTTGAGCAGTAACCATTATTGCAAAAATAAATGTACTAATTGTTCTTTTAAACCAATAAATTACATTTGTAATTTAAGATTTAAACAAGATCCGCTTCCGATTATTGTCTAAGCACTGTAATTATTTATATTTATAAAAGCTTACATTACAGTGCTTTTGCAATTATTTGCATTACAAAATCTAACATAAAACAATGCCTCTATTACGAAGTAATATGAAATAATCCCCACAGTCTGGTTTCCACCCTCTGTGGTTTTGTCCTTTAAACATATTCATGGGCTCTGGGTCCACATCCACATCCAGCATGTTTATGAGCTCTGAGGCTGAGCTCCAGACACCAGATGCCATGACACTATCATTCCTGAATGCTTCATATGTCTCACTCCACCCACTTGGACCTCCACTTTCTTCCCATCAGGCAAATCTGAGAGAGTCCCAAGAAAGAGTAGGCTACTCCCCTCTGTTATACAGATGTGTAACCATTAAGAACACATCTGTTAGCTCTACGACACTGTCGAAGTGAGTCCAGCTACATTCTGATTGTTCAGTGTGATCTTTAAAAGTATGCAGTATAATGTTAAATGCCATAGTCAATGAATAGTTAATGGTTAAACAATGTATTGACTGAAATATGCTGAGATAGATTTGGACCAGCAACATGAGTAGTTTTTGAAACCACTATGATACTGCACAGTCATTCTTACACTATTATGTACTTGGACTCCATGACTTTGGCTCATTTAAATCCAGCTGTTCTCTGTGTCTTTTGTTGGTCAACCACAATGTTTATAATCTTGGGGTTTCTTCCTTCTGACATGCCAAGACACCTAAACAAACGAAATGTCAAATGCTACATGTCACAGTAGTGAGATAAACTGGTATATTAAAATATGTATTATTATGCATCTCCACGTAGGAAGGAAAATCTTCTACTGAAACTCTCAGAGCGCAGTAGCCCAATGGCTGGCAAAGAAATGAAGAACAGGGGTGGTAAATGTCTGAAGGAAGTTCATATAGTTTCTGAAGCTCTGAAGACCCTCTACCGGCAAAAACTGCTCCCGCTGGAGAAGTATTATGGGTTCTCTGATTTCCACTCATCAAGCCTTGAAGATGCAGACTTTGACAACAAGCCCATGATACTAGTGGTGGGTCAGTGCTCTACAGGCAAAACTACTTTTATCAGGTGAGTATTGCAATAATTGCATCTAGCTTCTGAAGAATATACACAATAATATGTGCTATACAAATAAATTGACTTTTTAAAATTTGTTACATGTGAATTAATCAAATGGCTATATAAAAATAAAAGCATAATAGCATGATTAAGATTAATTTCACATCTGTATCCAGGTAATCTGATATCTTTTGAAAAAATGTAAGGGTCATCTTTCACCCCCATTTTACAATTTATATTGTATTATATTATAAGTGAATTATGACACCAGAGATTTTCACACATCTTGTACTTCAAGCAATTTGTGTCATATGTGTGGCAGATACCTTCTTGAACAAGAGTATCCAGGAAGCCGAATAGGCCCAGAACCCACAACTGACAGTTTCACTGCTATAATGCATGGAGAGATTGAGGGAATTATTCATGGAAATGCTTTAACTGTAGATCCCAACAAGCCTTTCCGCAAACTCAGCCCGTTTGGAACAACCTTCCTCAATCGGTGAGTGAGACAGAAGCAGTAACGCAATAAGAAGTTAAACTTGGACTGAAAGAGTCAAAATCACTCCACCAGTAGAAATCACTCTTGTGAAAGGGTGGACATAGTCAAGAGAGGAAAACATTAGCTAATGCATCATGATTTGGCTCAGCTGACTGCATCCCTTTAAGGGAGCATCTGTGGATGGGGTTTTTCCCATGTTCTGTCAATTTGAAAGATATTGAATTTGCATGAAACTTTCTCAGATTCCAGTGTGTACATCTACCCAACCGAGTCCTAGAGAGTATCAGCATCATTGACACACCAGGGATCCTGTCTGTGGCCAAACGCAAAATAAGCAGAGGTACGAAGTGTCATAAAGTGTGCCGTAATAGCCTAATTAAGAAATAAAACAACTTGCATGCAAATCATAATAGCTATGCAACCTAGACGATCTTTTATACTTCATATAAGTACACTCAATAAAAGGTCTTTATTGACATCTATGGTTCCATGAAGAACCTTTAACATCCATGGAACCATTCAAAAGGTTCTTTATAGTGAAATTAAAATGTATTAAAAATGTTCTTAACTATTCACTTAAAAGTTATTTTGGGAACCAAAAATAGTTCTTCTGTGGTGTCGCTGCAAAACCTCCTTTGGAACCTTTATTCTTAAGAGTGTACAGAGGTTGAGTTTAATTTCTTCTCACTGATGTCGCCCTTAAAAGATCGCAGTGTGCTTTGGTGCACATTATGGAACACTATAGTGTCTGATGTATCTGATCCAACACCTGTGAATTTCTTCTTATTCTTCTTTCAGGGTATGACTTTCCGGCGGTCATCCGCTGGTTTGCGGAGCACGTTGACCGTATTATCCTCTTGTGTGATGCACACAAACTAGAGATCTCTGATGAGTTTTCACACACTATAATGGCATTGCGAGGCAATGAGGACAAGCTCAGAGTGGTGCTCAACAAGGCCGACATGGTGGACTCCCAGGAGCTGATGCGAGTCTACGGCGCCCTCATGTGGTCACTCGGGAAGGTGTTCTGCACACCAGAGGTTCTGAGGGTCTACATTGGCTCCTTCTGGTCTTCTCCAATGCGTATGACAGACAATCGGAAACTGTTTGAGCAAGAAGAAGAAGACCTTTTTGCAGGCATTCAGAACCTGCCACGAAATTCTGCACTGAGAAAACTCAATGATCTGGTGAAACGAGCACGACTTGTGAGGGTGAGGACCCTTGTGCTTTCCACTCTTCATTTTGTTCCATGAAATCACAATTGGACTTCAGTTACTATTATGTCTATAGCTTTGAGGACATCTATATGCTAGTGTATTCAGAAAAGTTGAAAAATTTGTCATTCTACTGTCTCTCTCTAGAAAAATAATCAAAAATAATTGACACGTCAACATACCACCTACTTTGACTAGTGATATAAAGTAGCAAATCATGATGTGATGTAAACTAACTTTTATTAGCTTTTTTAATTAAAAAATACAATCTCCTTTTTCAATTGGAAATAAAGCAAAACAATGTTGATCAATGTTTATATGTGAAAACACTGTTTTCAGAAAAACTGTTTATCACATGCAGAAAATGTATCTCTTTAAATAACTGTGTGATTAATTTGAAGGTCAGAACATATGAAATGTGTGAAAGGTTTCTTTTTGAGAAAAAAAAAACACACTTTGTGACTAATGTAGTTGCTGTGATTTAAATTGTTCTGCATCTACCTGCTTGTTTTGTTTAGGTCAGTTGATATAGTCCTACTAAAACATTAATCTTTTTTCACCCACAGGCCCATGCTTATATCATTAGCTCTTTAAAAGAAGAAATGCCTTTAGTTTTCTGCAGAGAAAAGAAGAAGAGAGATCTAATCTATGACCTTCCCATCATCTATTCAAGAATCCAGCAGAGATATCAGATTTCACCTGGAGATTTTCCAGATTGCGCCAAGATGCAGGTGTTGAAATACTTTATAATCAAGCATGTCCATTATGAAATGTATTTTCTGCCACTACTATAAGCATACAAGTTAAAATTAAGTTATCGTATATGATATCTGTCTGATAAGCATTCTCACATCACACACAGGAGCAACTCATTAGTCATGACTTCAAGTTTAAAGGCCTCAAGCCTAAACTCTTAGCTGGGTTGGATGAGCTCCTAAACACGGACATAGCCAAGCTGATGCCTCTTCTACGCCAAGAAGAAGATCAAGCTGACAAACTTTTAGTGCAAGGAGGACCTTTTCTAGGGTCACACAGCAGACCTTTTACTGAGGGGAACCCATTTAATCACTATGGGTCCAATGGAGAAAGTGATCATGTCTCAGATGAAGAATGGGTGGTATCAAAAGATAAACCAAAGTATGATGAGATCTTTTACAACCTCTCGCCTCATGAGGGAAAGCTGAGTGGGACTAAAGTGAAGGGCTGGATGATGAGCACTCGTCTGCCCAGCTCGGTTCTGGGAAGAATCTGGAAGCTTGCAGATGTGGACCGCGATGGCATGTTAGATGATGAAGAGTTTGCTTTGGCCGGCCATCTCATTGAGGTAAAGTTGGAGGGCTTCGGGCTCCCTCATGAGCTACCTGCACAACTGGTGCCACCATCCAAAAGACAGCGCAAGAACTCTGGCACAGAGAAGAGAGACAATGATTAGTCTGCATGTCTTAATATTTATGAAGACAGTGTTTGTTCAACATTCAAGTCATGAATAATATTAATAATAATGTATTCAATTGTATAATACTTAAAATCACTAACAGCTTGCAAAGGTTGCATGTATAAATCCTCCATAGACGGAAACAATCTCAAAAGGCAAGTTGTTTTGATGGTTCAGATTGCCCAAGGGTTGAGAAACAGCTTATCCTCTAGTCTAAAACATGCTTGGCTAGTTGCAGAAACGCCCTCGAGACTGTTGCTATGAGGCACACAAATGTCAACACTTAAAAGTGCCTTGTTGCATTTCAAATACTATTTGTCAAGTGAAATTTTGTTTCTTAAAAAAACTGTTGGTCAATAAGTAATTGAACTTGAATGCTAGAGCTCTTTGTGTTCATGAGCTGTAGCAAAACATTTTCTTTATGATTTTGAGCATATATGTGAGATGTTACTTTGTAGAGGCTGTATATAATGGCTGTATATTATTATATATAATAATGACTGACCACTATCACATACAACAGACCTATTCAGGAAACCTATGAACTAGTGCATATCAACATTTCGAGTCAAGTCCATTTCCTGCAGAATAAAATGTCAAGTCCTAAACTGCCTGTTTATTTTGAGAAAATACCCGGCTGACGGCAAATATCATGTGAAGTGACAAAATTGTGTAACTATATTGAAAATTCCCTTGTTTGGTAAACACCCTTAGATAAAGGGTAGTGCACCGGAAGTAGATAAAGTCTCGCGAGGGGTGTGTTTTGGTGGTGCAGAATTCTCCACTTGCTCCGCCTCAGATCTTTCCTAACAATCCAGGAAACATTAAAATATTTACCAGAACCGAAACGTTTCGCTCAGTTCAGCGTCTGCACCACACGCCACAGCACAACCACCGCTTGATCCAGTCAAGACCCGCAGCAGCTGTCAGGATGACCGTCAAAGTTCACATCATTTACTGGTATTACACTGTGTATTTCGCTGCACTGATGAGGCTTAATCCGCCTTTTTATTTTTTTTTAAGGATCCAAACGACTGACTTAAACTACACGCTAAATTCAACTTGTTCGAAAAAACCTGTGGATTTAACCGATTAAAGCATTTAATTTTTTTATGTCAGGAAATAACCACGACAAAACAGGCATCGTTGCAGTTGTTGTTTCGCTCGTAATGTGTTGCTCGCTCAGGAACACCCGTGCGTTTCTATGTTCAGCAGTATCGTCCAGTTGAATGGTCTGAATACCAGCATAGATTAAATAATTTTTCTTTACATGTTCGTGAGCCATGTCTTGTAGCTCACAAGACTGGAATCCGGAAGGTTACTGTAAATAAATGCATTCGCTCATTCACTGGATCTCAGTTTTCAGGAAACCTAGTTAAAAAAAACCTAGTTACCATGCAAATTACTTTTTGACCAATGAGGTGAATGTCATTTAAATGATTGTGTGTGTGTGTGTGTGTGTGTGTGTGTGTGTGTTTGTCATCTCCTAGTGGTGGATGAGGATACAGGCCCAAGGTAAGTTTTATTTACTCACATGATCAATACAATACAATACAACACAATATAAAACTTGTGGGAGAATCTTGTCCTTCTATATGACGTCTGTCTCTTCTGTTTTGCAAACAGTTCACCAAACTCAAGACGTTGCTTGAGGATGAATTCCCAGGCGAACTTGAGATTGTATGTGGTTTATATGATTGTCATTTGTTTATGATGTTGTAATTTTGAAAAGTAAACATGTATTGTTAAATGTGCATGTACAAAAGCTCTACATATTGTTTTCTTATACTTATCTTTCTAATTTTTTTATTATCTCCCATACTCAGACTGGTGAGGGCACACCCTCAACCACAGGCTGGTTTGAGGTGGAGGTAAACAAGAAGTTGGTGCACTCAAAGAAGGTAAAATTGATCTTCTTTTACTTCTTTACTCTCAGAGGTCACAGTTATATATATATATTGCATTTACCATAATGTGACACAGATGCAGCCTTCATACCGTTTCTCACTTAAATTGCACTTCATTGTAGAGTTACATCATGTCTTAACCATTGCACAGTATAGTATTTTTGATTGACTAAAGTCTGCTGCTAAAGTCTAATATGGCAAAGTACATCTATAGTATTTTACATTTGGCCAATATTTTCTTTGACAGAATGGGGATGGGTTTGTTGACTCGGAGTCAAAATTCAAAGCAGTTGTGACTGCCATTGAGCAGGCCATGGGGAAATAAGCATGAATTGATCATAGAGGTGAGAATAATCTGACATAGAGCCTTTTTGTTGTAATACCAGCAAAATACACACATTAAAGGGATAGTTCACCTAAAAATTAAAATTCTGCTGTTATTTACTATCCCTCGTGTCGTTCCAAACTTGTACGAATTTCTGCTGTGGAATGTAAAAGAAGTTATTTTGAAGAATGTACAGTATCTTCAATACCTTCTTTTGTGTTCCGAAGGAGAAAGCAAGTCATACAGGCTTGGAACAAAACAAGGGTGAGTAAATGATGACAGCATTGTCAATTTTGGGTGGACTATCCCTTTAACACCTCCTCTTCTTGTATTTCTGTCTTTCTTCTAATTCTAATTTGTCTTATATTTTCTCAGCAGTTTCTCTTCTCTGTTTGTTGGACTCCTGGGCAGTGCAACAATGATGGTGACGTCCAAAGTGTTTTCAGCACGGATGTTGCTTGATGCTCTCAGCTCTTCCCGGGAGAAGACACTCAGAGCAGGAAACTCCCTATGTATACTGCTTCAGATTAACGCTTTAACGGTTGAAAATAATAAAGGAAAATAAAAAGGGAAATTATAAAATTAGACAGAATTTGAACAGAACATGTCAAGTTGAGGTACTTTTGACTAGGGTTGCAAAAATGTGGAAAATTTCCAGTAAATGTAGGAAATATTCCAGAAATTTTGGAAATTTCCAGGATTTTTTTTTTTGTTATATTACAGGGATTTTGGGAAAGTTTCCGGAAATTTACCAGAAATGTTCCACCCCTTTGCAACCCTACTTTTGACATGTCTTTTTTGTTTTTCTCTGTTTGCGTCTGCACAACGCACAATTTTACGAACTATTTTGGCATTGTTCCAAGATTTTCATGCAATAAAAGATGTTCATGGTGAAGTGTTTTGTCTTTCATTCATTGGTGCTCTATCTAAAAGGTGGCAGCACAGACTTTGTCCCTGTACATTTAAGAAATAAAATAGCAATAAACTATGCCACAAGGTGTTAATATAGCAATGCATAATCTGAATGACCTAGAACATAGGGATATGATGAAAATGTAAAGGTACATTTGATAAGTTTACCAATCGACATTTTAATTCCATTTATGTGTTTTGATTTTGTGTAATTTGTTGTTATATAGCCTTGATGACAAATATTCCACACAGTGTTAATAAGGTCATGAAAATCATCAGCTAAATCAACTTATTTAAATACACCATACATACATACATACCATCATCATCATACATACTGCTTTAAAGATGAAATACTGTAAGGATGCCAGTCAGATGCTTATGTGAATAGGCAGAAAAAAATCCTTGAGACAAACCAGACTCATCTGTCAAAGCACACACAAGGCAATATAAAAGTACATATACCAAACATTTAAGAATAAAAAGAGAATAAATTATTTGAGAATGCTTTTACGCAATTATTAAGTTGTAAAAGACCATGATTCATTTGTAATGTCCATCCTACAATGACTGGAGTGATGCAGATACAGATGTCACCCTACAGGACCCCACTGCCACTGCTTGAGATGTCATGTCATTTGATTATACAGTATTATTATTCAAGAGGTATTATAAATAAGACATCTTATGTAGCATGTATAGGAATGAAGTCTTTTCATTTGTCAGGCCTTTTCCCATAATTCCAGCAGAAGCGCTGTGCTACAGACACTCCGGAAGTGAGGCGTTTATTGACAATATGGCGACCGGACCAGCTGAGAGGGGACCTGACATTTTTCGGTTTTGTCAGTGACCGCAGATGTGGATGATCAAAGCAAAATCTGTGCGCGATAGAGTGTTATGAATGAAGGGACTCGGGAGCTGTCGGGATGTTGTCTCTGAGCTGAGCGAGCGTTCACAGCTTCAGATTCATCATGTCGTTCTTCAGACGGAAAGGTAAGGAAGTGCTCCGCTCGATGATGATGGGGTCGCCGCCGGATAGTATGGGCTTTTCTGGACCGATGCTGAGCTCATGTCCACCACATGAATGTGACATTAAAACTCTTTTATTCTTTGTAATGGCCGTGAAATTCCTCTTATGCATTGCTGTCTTTTGCACACCGTCTACATCAACTCTAGAGAGATGGGATAATCCCGTTTCAAGTGCACGTTTTTGTTATTTTAGGTTACCAAATGTGACAACTTTGAGAATTTTTTGTTAATTATAGTTACATGTTATCGTTAAAATTCATGTTGCTAACTGAAAAAGTAAAAACCCCGTTGCGTCTTCGATGTTCGCTTAAACGGTCAAGTAACGTGCATGATGTAGTGTCAGTCGTCTGTCAGAAAATCCTCATGTTGGAATTCCATAATAGAATGAAACCAAAATGATTTTGAGAATCATAGAATCCTACTGAATGAACTCAAGGTGTATTCTTGTTTGATCCAATTAGAATTGCTTTGGAATTTTTTTTGACAAGGAGTGCATTTCATTGACATTGACATTCTTTGATCTGATGTTTTTTTTGTTTAGTTTTTTTGGAAATACTGTAACTGTTACATTGCAATGCATTTTGACACCAAGGGCCTTTTTGTCTAAGACAATATTTAAATGCCACCCTATTTTAAGCTGGAATGTACTTCTGTTGCAATACAATTTTTAGCATGTTTTAGCATTTTGAATAAGATTAAGTTAATATAACTGAATTGAAATAATTATAAGACTGCCATTGGAAGTTTGTTGAGGCCCCCAAGTTGGAAACCACTAATTTAAGCTAAATCTATCCAGCCGTCCATCCTTTTTTTAAACCTCTCTTCTACAGAATTCCCATAATCATAGAAAACCTGGAAATGACAGGGAATTTTAAGATTGTGATTAAAAAGTAATCGCATAGCTAGAAAAATTATGAGAATTCATTGATCAAAATGGGTGGGAACGCTACTGTCTTTAGTTGTTCATACTTAATAAACCATAATAATTAATCTGTAGTTTTGTATCTTTACTAAATAAAGTGACTGATCATTCCAAAATTCCCAGAATCCCTGCCCACATGACAAAGACCATACAGATGTATCCTGTGACTTCAGTCAGTGTGCATTAATCAATGTGGCTGCCCTAAGGGAAGTAAGGATGCCCTCTTAACCCGTGTCCTATTTAATAGGAGCATCACTTCTCTTTGTTCTCAGTCTTTGTAGTCTTTTTAATATACTCTCGGTTTTCTTCATCCATCAGAGATATGTGGGTTAATGTATGTTATGAGCACAGCAGAGGATTATGAAATATTTGAAATGATGTAATACATGCTGCTCATTGTATAGACAAATATCATCCCCACTTTTTGCTTGCACTCCTCCCAGTAATGATTGGGATGATGAAAATTCTTGTCGTTTTGTGCTCCATGATGTGAGTCTGTCTGTTTGCCAGTGGTGTTTATTTTTTTATTATTATTATTATTTTTTTTTTTTGTGGACAGACTCACGCAAGGCCTCACCCAATGCAAATAATCCAGAAAACGTAAAGTGGAAAGAGTCAGGAATGTGTATATAGTGTATAATGTGAATAGTGTATATTGGCTTGACCCTTTTGTTGCCTTTTTGTTTTATTGTTGGGTGTCAAAGAGAGACGGTGACTGTTCTTATGCAACGTTTGTGCTGAATAGTCAGGTGCATTAGGATAAGAGATGCTGTAAATTATAAATTATATTTCCTACGTTCTTTATCTCCTAGCTAAAGGAAAGGAACCTGAGAGACCAGCAGATGCCAAAGCCAGCAAAGGTGAGAGCCCTGTGCCACTTTACTCTGCTTATGTTGCTCTGTTATACTTTATTATGTACTCTGTTTACTGAATATTGAATGCACAACATTTATCAGTGTGTTTTGCATTTCCAGCCTCAATTGTTTTCATTAAGACTAGCATGTTTTTTTATCCTTTGCTTTTTGATTTGAGATTCAGGAAAGTCTCTGCAAAGTAATGATTTTGAATTACATTGTCCAAACTCATAAGACTGACTTTGGTTAATCTTCAAAACCCAAATGAAGATTTTTTTTAAAAATTAAACCTGAGCAGTTTCTGTCCCTCCTTTGAAACTCCAGGTAACCAAAAATCAGAAGATACAAAAAGGTAATAAAGGTGTCATTACATGGATTTTCAAAAGGGGGACAGAAACCTCAGTTTTCATTAAAATAATCTTGTTTAGAAGATTAATCAAAGTCTAATGGGTTTGGAACGACTTGTGATGATGACTAAATTTGAATTTTACAGTGAACTATCCCTTCAAATGAATAGCTAGCCAGTTGAGGACATGCTTAGGTTTATCAGCGTATGGTAAGCATTTCTTACCAAGCTTAGCAGTACAGGTTAGTAGATTGGAACTGGAGGAAAATGTAGAATTCTGTTGTGTGTTAATGTTCCTGCTCTGTGCTCCTCTCCAGCCCCAGTGTCGCCCCACTCCCCCTCTCTTAGCGGCAGTAATCATCATGCTATCCTGGATGCAGCAGGACCCAGCCATGTGGCCATCAATGCTATCTCAGCCAACATGGACTCCTTTGCCCGCGGCCGCACTGCTATTCTCAAAAAACAGCCTAGCCACATGGAGGCAGCACACTTTGGAGACTTAGGTACACCAGCTATGAATTCTACACACTGATTCAAAAAGTAGCGTTAACATGTCCAAAAGCTTTTATGACTTATGTGTTAAATGGCTTTTTTACCCATCATCTGTTAAAGACTTAGTTCTTAATGAGAGATTGAGCCTGAACTTTCATTATAAACTCTTTGATCTCAAAGCTGCTCTACTTTTTTTATTAAGGTGGGCTTGTTAGCAACATTTGATCTGTAACTTACTGTTTTGTGCTGAGCATTTTAAACTAAATGTGGTGTGTGTGTCCGCGGCCGAGGGAGAAGGAATTATCACATTAGAGGAGGGATTTTGTGAAGCTGTTACTGAAATGGCTTTTGCAGCGCACTGGCCTGCTGGATTTGTGTGAGAAGTGCCATAATCTCTTAACCTTTTCATAGCTCTGTGATTGTTGGAAACCTACACAAGCTCCTCCACTTTAACCTGCTTTTAAATAAGTGCTTTTAAATAAGTGATTGCCCTCACTGTTAAAATCTGTGAAGTTTACAGTAAAAAAATGGCAGCTGTGGTTGCCAGATTACCGTCTTGACAACCATTCTGAAAACACAGATGGTAAACAGAAAGCCACATGATGAATCATAGTTCATTCAAGTTGCTTTTCTACAAGCTGAGGTAAATACTCATATTTAGTATTTAAAAGGTGCACAGTGTTATGCACAAAAAACATTCATTTAATAACACAAGATGTAACCAATTCCTAATCTACTTAATTCTACATAAGTAACACTAAGAAGAAACATAGTTATTTCACTGACAAACAATCATATGTGAAGTGTCAGAGGTTTCTGGGAATGTTAATTTACAGTTTTTCACTGTAAATTATAAGAGGACTTGTTATTTTTCACTTGCAAAAACTGTCCATTTAACAGTATTTTACTGTAAAATTGCATGAAATGTCCCATTACATCTATTGCAGTTTTTTAAAACTTTAACTATTAAAATTGTAGTGATGATGATGTAATGAACTTTATTTATTTATTTATTATTATTATTATTATTATTATTATTAATTAATTAATTAATTTTTAAACTTGGCCATGCTTAGAAGGTTTGGTTGTCATACTTGGTGTAAAAGTCATATTCTCGTTATCATCTGCCCCAGGATAGAATGTCTTGTCTTTGTTTTTGTTTTTGTTTTGTCCTAACCCCGCCTTTTCATTTAAAAATATGTAACATTGAAATGTATGTGTTGACAAACCAGTGTTGCAAGGTAACTTTGAAAAAAAGATAATGCTTCTAACGTCACATCTTAACGTGTTGCCTCCTACACAAAGGAGGTTTGTATTTTTCCGTCTGAAGTACCCTCCTTTGCGTTTTCTGATACTGGACTCATAGAGTTCAGTTCACATCCCAGTAAACGTTTTAATCAGACCTTCTTCTGGTGTCCTGTGGTGTTGAAAGAGGAAGGTGTGGCCTTTCAAAGCATTCAATGGAGGTCACAGCTCTATTATAAAATTTGTTTTGTGTGGAACAAAGTCTGTGCCACTGGCTGCTGTATATTAGAAATAGATGGCTGGGTGTGATCTGGAGATGGCATGGGTTTGAATTACAGGCATTAAAGGTGCTCTAAATTCAGTGTTGTATAGCAATTACTAAGATGCATCAGTATTACTGTTGTTCATACTTCAGGGGATTTGAACAAACATCTAATCCAAACTATTAAACATTAAACATGCTGATTGGGAATACCAGAATATGGAGACTTGGGGTGGGCTCTTTTTAGACCAGTAAGCAACATCCTATAGCAGCCATCTAGAACACCCTAGCAACCATAAAACAATGCTCTGGTGTCATAGTGGTAAGTTTCGGACAGGCAAGCATCACATTATTTTTTTATTTTATTTTGTTAAGTCAAGTTTTGCGATGATTGATTGCTTTGTTTTGTTGTGTTTTGTGTTGTTTTTGGTTAATGTTTATTATGTTTTGTGTTTTTTGGTTATTTTATTTATTTTTATTGGATTTTGTGTTGTGTTGTGGAGTTTTGTTATTTTTATATAGTTTTTTTTTTCATTTTGTTTTGTGTTTGGTTTTATATTTTGTTTTTAAATTGTTTTAGCTGTGTTTATTTTAATTATTGGTTGTTATTTTTTATTGGGTTTTGTCTTTCTTGTTTTGTGTTGTTTTTGGTCATTTATTATGGGGTTTTGTTTTTTTACGTTTTGTGGTATTTTATTTATTGGCTATTATTTATATTGGGTTTTGTTTTGGTTTCCCCCCTTCTGTTTATATAAAAAGGGTGAAATTTAATCACTGTCAATACACAAACCAGACAACTGGTTGTTACCAGTCCAAATCTGAGATTGTTTGTTTTTAAGTATGTTGTCTCTGCATTAAGGAAATATGGATTGTAACACTGGGGTTTAAAAAGTGTCTTTGCTTTTCAGGTCGCTCCAGTGTCAACTACCAGGTTCAAGAGACTCGCTCTCGGCTTTCTAAAACTGTAGACCAGATCTTGCGGGATAATCTGGCCTTGCCCTACTTCATACAGTTAATGGAGACCCGCTCAGCTGAGCACCTGGTCCGCTTCTGGCTTGAGGCTGAGAGCTTCCGATCCACCAGCTGGTCTAGGGTCAGAGCACACAGCCTCAACTCAGTCAAACACAGCACCTTGGCTGAGCCTGCGGCTGGCCTGGAATCCCCCGACTCACCAGACTCTCCAAACGACCCCAGCAGACCCTCAGCTCTGGATGAGGGAGACGAAGAGGACACTTTCTCCTCCCGGACGTCCTCCAGACCTCACACCCCCAGCCCCCAAGACACTAACTCTCATACCAGGGCTCTGATTGGCCACCGGAACTCTGTTAGCTCAGAGGGGGCGGCCCGGCCTGGGACTCCCCACCTGCAGCCCACCCTAAGGTCAGAAACGCCCACCAGACAGCCCTCCTCCAGGACAGGCACTCCAGTTAAAGGCCAGTCTACTAGTGGCCTCTCTGAGAAACTTATGAAAAGTGAGTACCAGTTATGGTAACCTTATTGTTGAAAGTATTTTACTTGTTTGATTTGACTTTATTCCTGCAATCAGTCCTCCTAACTGGTATTTTTGAACAAGTGCTTGCTGAGGTCTTCTCCGTGTTGTAGTTATGTATTGCCTTCCACATATATTTGGTCCACCTTGGGTAATTTAGGGTTAAAGGAGGATACTCAGTTAAATGCTACTTTTGTAGCATGTTCTGTGGTGTGCTGTTGATTTCCACGGTAAAAAAAAGAAAACATGTTTACTGTATTGCATTTACAATGTAAAACTGTAATTTAAAGCTTGAATTTTTGTTAAGGCACTTTTAAATGTTTATTACTGGATTTGCAAATTTGTCTAAAAGGCCTTAAAGTGGGCCTGCTTATTAAGTTGATGAATCTCTGGTTATGTGTTATCGTCATAATTCCTTTGCTTTCCAGGTAGTTATGTCACATCCCTTCCTGGTATCCTGACATGGACACTAAGCAAAGCTTAGTGTGAAACTTGTTAAAAGATAAAGCTTTGTCCAGGCCAGGTTAGGTGATTTTATCACACTAGATTCCTGTTAACGTGTGATGTTTAGCCTTGATTTTGTCCTTTAGAAACAGTACAGGCATGTCTGATATATCATGTCCTCTATTTTTACACTTGGATTAACAGCACACACTTACTTTTCCTTACAGAATTTTTGTGTTGTGCATCCTTGATGGCATGTCTTGAATATTTATTTTGATGGTGCATACTTGCCTGCTAGGCTTTCTTTTCAAGCACGTAATGATACATACATTTGCTGTTAGTTTTTACAGGGTGATGGGCTGTATATAAATAGAAAAATTAAATTAGTAGTTGTTCTAAATGTCCTTTTGGCTGAATTAAAAAAAAAACTACTTTAATACTGCAGGGTATGCAGTATTCCTTAGTAATTTCACTAAAACTGTACCTTAAACTTGAGTTTTTAACAAGCATTCCTTAATATCCGTAGGGAATATTCTGTACTTAAGTTTTTCATGGTTGGTGGCCTTTTACCAATACAACATATTCCTTTTGTATCAGACGATGACTTTTAATATGCACGCGGCATTGGTTTTATAGAGCAGGTTTGGTAAATGACCCCATTTAGCATCTTGGCAGTGGACTGCAATGAACAGAAGTCAGGAGCTGAGTATTCATTAATGGCTAATACAAAGAAGCTCCAGGCTGTAAAAGCAGTGAATGGAAAAAGTCAGTTGAGCCGAAAGACATCAAATCAGCTTAGAAGGGGAGTCAGATCCTATCAGCCCGTGGCTTCTGCTGCAAGAGCCTTCAGTGTCTTAAAAGGAAACAAGTCTTTGTCCTCTTCATTGCATTTTATAAGGCTGTCTCTGGATTTTCTGAGCATCTCAAATGGATTTTATGAAAAGCACTTCAACATTTAAATATGCTCTGATGAGATTCCTCATCTCACAGATACCCATTAAACTCAAGCACTTTCAACATGGCCTTTAAACACAGAGGCTTACTACTCATGGCTGATCGTCAACCATGATCCAAATAAATCATTTAACAAGGTGTAGACGTAAGATTTGTCCCTGGGCCTTTGCTCTAACTGTACTAGTCATTTGTTTGATTAATAGTGACACTTAAGCGCACATGAGGCTTTGATGAATAGCCATGGCTGAAATGTGAATTACACTTCTGTAAGTCTGTTGAATATGATAAAGGCGTTTGCTGTGGATCGAGTGTGATTTGTCCTTCATCTTTATCCTCTGTATTTTCAATTTCCATGTTGTCGATAGAGTCAGCAAAGTCAATTTTGAGAAAAATCAAGTTGAAGTTTTCTGAAGGTTCCAAAGCAAAATCACCTGCAACGTTGCATCTTTTCCTCCACTTCTTTTCTTAATAATAATTTGTATATTAATAACAATATAGCTATTTTTCATTTTATCTTTGTTATTATAAATAATAACAGATGCAAAAAAAAAACAGAACAAATATAAGAAAAAACAAACAGTGCATTACCTTTTTCATTTTACATCTAAACAAAAAGCATTCAAGAAAAACAAAATAATCAAATGTTTAGTGTTCATTACAAATAAATTGATTATTGAAACTACAAAAGCAGTTCAATCAATAGCAGCAAGTGATTCCCTCTTTTCTTTTATTGTTAGATTAACATTAATGAGGCTGCCTATATTAAGACCCACTGTAATGCACGGATCTAATATAATGTTACACATCAGATGTTTTTCCTCAACAGTTCCCCGAACGTTCACTCAAGACATAACAGATTATGTTTGCGTGAATACTTAAATACTGTAATTCTGTGTATATTTATTGGGATCGTGCGCAGTCGGAAGCACCTTTATGCGTGCTCTTAGGATGACAGTGCGAGAAACGAATGGAGAAAAGGTACTCCTCTCAGAAAACGTACAAATAAAGGTAATTAAACATCTAAAATTATTATTCGGAGCTTTGGGATCGCTAGACGAGGGCTTAATGAACTCATTTTTGTGAAAACCTCAAAATCAACGAAAATTTAAATTTTTCACTTTTTTTGTCTGTAGCTCAAAATTAGCCCGTGCGCATTCCGACTCATTTTGCCAGCATGGGTCACATTTACTACATGGTGCAAGCTGATTGGCCTCTGCTGATTCTGCAGGCAATTAGATTGCTTGTTTAAAGTTTAAATAATCTGGTTCATTGTTCACTGTAAACTGGTCCTGCAGCGCAAGTTCCTCTGAAACCCTCTACCTCCCCCAGCTCCACCTGTCTAGATCTGTTACAGGATTTATATATACGCCTATTCAGGCAGCAGCAGTGTGTCTTACATGCTTACAGTAGCGTGTCTGTGCATAAATTGGCAGTAGCAGGTCCATACTTGCTCTGCAGCATCGTGTGTAGCAGATCTAGTCTGCAAAGATCAAATACATTAACAGTCATATACAATAACATGCTATTCAGAGAGTTGCCATGATTGAAATATATTTTGTTCCATTCCATTTGTTCTCCTAGCTGTTTTTGAACACAGAAATTAAATTTGCAAGGTGTAGAGTTGGGGCTGTTTCTCATAGTAGAGATGGGGCTTTAAAAGCTTTAATTGCTTCTTGTGAAATGTATTTACAGGTCAGGGGCATGAATTGTTATTTTGCATAATTTGTATGTTAATGTATTAAGTTTTTATCTTGGTGTTGTTTTTTTAATTAGTCATACAAAATTTACATAATAAATTGACTGGTCTAATCTTAGCTCTCTATTTATTTAAAATGTATTTGTTTATATAGCCTCTTTTCTTTCTGAAATTACATGGAAATGTCTGGCATCTGTTTTACAGGCACTTTAGTGAGTTCTTGCGGAGCCATTATTTCTGTAAGTACCAGATCGAGGTGCTGACCAGTGGTTCTGTGTTCCTTGCGGACATTCTGTTTTGCGAGTCAGCCCTCTTCTACTTCTCTGAGGTGAGGAAACTCTGTATGATGGACTTAAGCTTCTGAACATGTTTAAAAGAAAATTACAGGGTTAATAAAATTTTAAATATAGCTGTACAGTAGATTTACAGCTTATCTAGTATTTACCCCAAATTTTCCTGTAGATAATCTTACTTGTATGCAATTTAAATAATACATGTATAGATGTGGAATTATATATAATGTTATTTACTTATTAAATGTGCTTTAAAATTGGATTTAAGTGTTTTATGAGTCCAGATAATATGTATCCGGTTAGAACACACTTTTAAGTTGAATTTATGTTGAATTTATGCATAGAGCTGTATAAGCCCATGAATTATGCTGATCTGGACAGCCAGTTTTTAAATGGCAGAATGCACCAAAAGTGCAAGTGTGCGTATAAATTGATGGATTTCTGATCCAAGCACATTTGAAGTGCCAAGGGATTATAAAGTAGGATTGAAACCTAATTCAAAGTGTGTGTTTGTGTGTGTGTGTGTGTCAATATAGTACATGGAGAAGGAGGATGCAATGAATGTACTGCAGTTCTGGCTGGCTGCAGAAAACTTTCAAGATCATTTGGCTTCCAAAAAAGGCCAGTACGATGGACAGGAAGCCCAGAATGATGCCATGATTCTCTATGACAAGTATGTCCTATTTGAAGTTCAGTATAATCTCTGTTTTGGCAGAGTATTGTTAGGCTTAAATAAAAAATCTAATTAGTCTCAATGTCTAAAACATAGCCTAAAATTACACTATTCCTTCTGTTCTGTTGCATGCTGTCTAGCTGTGTTTTTTTTTTTAATTCAACAACATGAACTACACTACCATTCAAATGGGTTTGGTCTCTTATGCTCAGCAAGGATGCATTTATGTGATCAAAAACAGTAATATTGTGAAATATTATTATGATATGAAACAACTGTTTTCTATATTTCTATAGTTTGATATGTGTTTAAAGGGGTGGTTCACTGTTTTTTTTCTAGGCTTGATTGTGTTTATAGGGTGCAGTCTAACATGTGTTACAGAGCTTCCATATGACTGACTAGTCATTCAGACAACTCGCATGCCTGTCGATTTTGACACTATGCAATTATGCACATGCCTCTCCAGTGTTTAAGATGTGGCAACAGCATAACCAGTACTTTTGGCAGACAGAAGACGTGACAGTTCATATGATCTGCTTAGGTATTTTTCACTCCAAGCCACAAATCCGTTGGGTTTTGGTGACTCTGTACGGATGGAGATTGAATCCAATATCTGTAGAGAAGGCGGACCTCTCCCAGACTGCTTCAACACTCCAATAAGACAGGCCTGGACCACCATGGAGAAGGTGGGTTATGTCGCTGCAACACTTTTATATAAAAATGTGCAAACAATTATGAAGGTGGAAGCTTGGTATTAGGAAAGAAAATCCTGTTGAAGTTTACTTGTTTTCTCAACCTCAGGTATACATGCCAGGCTTTCTGTCAAGCAACCTTTACTACAAGTATTTGAGTGACCTTATCAACTCCGTACGGGTGGACGAGTTTACTGGAGGAAATGCCAACACTCCGAACCAGGGCTGGACCCCAGAAGGCGACCGCAACTCTAGCGTCATGGAAGGGTCACAAGCCCAGGTGATTGATCACTAGTTTGATGGTCTCCCAAAAAGCCACATTGCTCTTGTTTTTCATAATAATTCAAGAACTCTTCAAGAATATGGTTGAAAGTATGGGTAACTTTGTCCTGATGTTCTCAGCAAGGATCTAAAAAAGCGGCAGTCAAGATCCTGAAGAACTTTGATGAGGCGATAACGGTGGACATCGCCAGTCTGGACCCTGAGTCTCTCTATCAGAGACCATATGCTGGGTGAGTCAGGGTTTGAAACCTTCGTACTACACTTCCTTCCCATCATGGGACCTCAGATTGAAATACCATAAACATCTTTAAGGTTAGACAAAAGGGATGGTCCAAGACCATCATTACATCAAACATTCGTTGATCATGGATATGTTTTTATGCCTTGCAAAGTTGAATAGTGTTGTCACGATTCCAAAATTTTTACTTCGATACGATACTTGACTAAAATATCTCAATACTGCTACTGAAACGATACCAAGACAAAACATACAGTAATACAACAGGAAAAGTAATTGAATAATAGATGATCCAAATGAAGCTTATAGTTATTTTATCATTTAATGGAAAAAAAATGAAATCTTTCACATGACCAGTGTGTGCCTGCCCTTCTTTATGAGCATTTCATCCCCCTTAAAAAAATGGCAGTGCCACTTCTATGGTGAGCAACTACCAAGCCTACTGGTATCTGGTATGTATAAATCTTTGCAACATTGGTAAGTTAGTTAAAAGGATAAAGCCATTCATTTCAGAAAATGAATAAAGTAATCAAAATGTAAAAATAAAGCACTGCATAGTCTTAACTGTATAAATTAAATATACATTGATCCTTATTAAAGCTACCGAAGTTAGTCAAGATCAGTGAGTGATTTTTCTTTTTCTTTTGTTGTTTGATTACATATGAAACTCATGTTGTTTGAAACAGACTGCACGGATCCAATTTATTGATACACATGCGTTTTCTTTCTCATCTGTTTATGTTCACTTAAGTCATAAGACAAGATGGGCAATAACTTGAGCAAAAATTTGTGAAGGCGATCTGAATTTGCGATCGCATGCTGTCTGTAAGAGAGGTAGCTTTCTGTGCACGTGCTTCGGGTGTGTGAAAACGCCTGAGTACTGCACGAGTTCTTTTTCAAGGTTTATTGCACTTAATGTGCATGCAGTGAGCTGAAGCAGAGCTGCACACACATACTGCGCTGCTGCAGCACATGGATGCAACTTAGGAAATATGGCTCTTATTAAAACGCATTCATAAAGTACCAGTACTAGTAAAATGCAGAATCGTACCGTTTTTAAAAGCAGGGTATTCTGATACCTTTTTAGTACCGGTATATCGTGCACAGTGTTGGGCAAGTTACTCTGAAAATGTAATCAAATTACTGATTACTGATTACTCCTTTTAAAAGTAATCACGTTACTGTTCTGATTACTTTATTTCAAAAGTAATTAGTAATTAGTTACATTACTAGTTACGTTACTTTTTTTCTCCATGAAATTTATGAAATCCCAGCATACACGCTCCCAAAAAATATTTGTTATTAAAGCATCAACATTCAATCTCACAAATCTCCGTTATAACACAATAAATATATGCATAATGAATCTTTCATAATGTCTACAATTCGTATGTTACAATGAGAGGATTCGTGAGCACGCAAATTTCAGCACTGCATTACTCAACACTGCAAACACTTGTTATAGCCTAAATAGAAACTCTGCATACGCTTGCACCTGTTAATCGTTTATATTTATATTAGTTTGTGTTGCTTTTGTGCAATAGATGAATAACAATTTATTTATTTAGATATTTTATGTTTAGATATTTTTTGCGGGAGTCCCGTGAATCATTTTATTCTCCCGCATCCCGCACACACACGAGCGTCTACCCGCCCGCACCAGCACTCGCTCATCTTGTCCCGTGCCGCACTCTGTTGCGTCAGGCCTCGCGGGAGAGCAGATCTCTAATCCACTGGCATTTGACTCGACAGTGCGTATGCAACATCCTTTTTACAATCTCTAGATTATAAAACACTGCATTCTGTCAGCAATGTAACGTGGCAGTAACGTATAGAGACCTCGGCTTGTAACTATACTCTAATTACTATTTTGAAAATTATAACGCGTTAAATTACTCCGTTACTAAAAAAGTAATCAAATGACAGTAACGCGTTACTAAGTAATGCGTTACTGCCCAACACTGATCGTGCAACACTAAAGTTGAACATTTTATACATCAAAGTAATATTTTCTCACTGGCTGACATAGTTGAAAAAGCACTTTTTTTCTGGCATATAAAAAATGAGCTAGAAATATAATGTACCATTTTTTGTGATCCGCCTGGGCCAACAGAAAAAGATTCTTATTTTTGAAACCTGGTGTTATGCACAAAATACTGGATTCAGATCCAAATTCAGCTTTTCTTGCTTTCATCTCAGAAGAATGACCTTTGGGAAGGTGAATGAGCTGGGCCAGTTCATCAGAGAGGCCGAGCCAGAGCCAGATGTGAAGAAATCCAAGGGTAAGACACACACACACACACACACTCTTGCTCTTGAAGACTTTTTTTCTCTTCTCTCTCACACTGACATGCACTTGCACATGTTTTGTATTGTGTGAGTTTGCTCTTACTTATGACTTCTGCTGAAGTGCTCTTGATGTCTTCAGTTTGAGAGCAGAGAGTGTTGCCATGGCGATAACTAGCCGGTGATGTGGTGAAGAGCAGTGAAAAGCAAAATTCACTGCTCTGTCCAGCTCACTCACTCTCTTTCTTTCTTTATTTCCTTTCTATCAGGTTCCATGTTTTCTCAAGCAATGAAGAAATGGGTGCAAGGAAACTCAGATGAGGTGTGCACCTGCTTATTTCATTCAAATTACGTGTGGCATCTTCTCTAATGTCTTTTTATTGAATGGAAATGGATTTAAGCTTGTTATAGTTCATGATATGTACTATCTTTGTTTTTTGGTGTGTTAGGCACAAGAAGAGATGGCATGGAAGATCGCAAAGATGATCGTCAATGACGTCATGCAGCAGGGACACTAGGGAAGCCCTGAAGTGAAGTCAACAAAAGTACATATTATTTTGTCTTTGCATTCCTAAAGATTTGTTTCTTGAACTTCAATTTGAAAAATGAAAATTCTGTAATTTATTCAAGTCGTTCCAAACCCAGACTTACTTTCTTCTATGGAAAACAAAGGCAATTCCTCCGAATTTTTATGCTTCTCTTTTCTTTATAGTGATGCGCCAAAATGAATGTTTTACCAAAACCAAAATTAAAGTTTTAATTTGGCCAAAAAACAAAAATACATTTCCAGTTATTAATTTCTGTTATATTTGGCTGAGCGCATAATTCAGCTTGGTATGCTGTTCGGGGTGTTGTGTTCTCAGGTAACAAATTAAATCAGTTTAGTAAAGCTCTTTCACAATGAGTCACCTCTCAATATTTCAGCAGATCCATATGTCCACAATGCTGACATGTCTACCTCTTATAGCTTATCCACATTTTGTGCATGAAATAGACAGTCAAAATGCATCATCACCAGGGAAGTGCTAATTGAATGTCACTGTTTTGATCAATGCTTTTGGTGCTCCAAAGCACTTATGGCCAAAACAGAGTATTTGTTTCATTTATTTATTTATTTATTTTTTGACAGGTGAGATGTTAAAATGGTTTAATCTCAAATCACTATTTCATGTCCACGTAATTATTGAAGTGGACATGAAAAGCTGTGTAAGAAGTGGTTTGACTGTACAAGACATTATCCCTTAGATTTTTGTCATGTTTGAACTTATTTTAGCCATGTAATACATGGGATAATGTACATTGTGTCAGTTGTTATCACCTGGCCAGGTTTATTTTGCTATAACCAGTTGTTAGTACATTATCCCTTACTTCATTTACTGTGTGGATGCCTCCGCAAGCCACAATAAGGCAAGTTTAAATATGCCGAAATTGACATTTTTCCTTGTATGAAAAAGTGCAGCCTTATCATTCTGCTGAACATCTCCATTTAGGTTCCTTAGAAGAAAGTTATGCAGGTTTGGAACAAGGTGGAGTGAGACAATTATGCCAGAATTTTCATTACTGGGTCAACTAACCCTGTGGTCATTGTCTGGCGGTACTGGGATTAGTAGCCAATTTAAGCTTATTTTAGAATGACAGGACTACTTCTGTAAATGCAGTGGCTGGTTATTTTTCAGTTATAGATTTCTATAAGGTGACCTGCTCTGTTTTCATCAGCTCTGACCCTCTCGTTCAGTGTGGAAGCAGCTCCTACCCTCCCTCCTGTCGCACCCTCTGCATAATGACTGGAGAAGCAAACGACCAGAAGACGAGCACATTAACATATCAGTGAGGACCTGAAAGAGGCATTCCATGACTTCCTGCATGTGTTTGTGTGTGAGAGTGTGAGTGTTTAGATATGCACACTAATAGCCAAAATAAGTTTTCTGTATGATCCACCCCATCATTTCTAGCACTTGTTTATTGTTTGAAGAGGAGTGTAATGAGTTCAGCTACAGAAATGAATAAACCTGTAAACAAACAAGCGAGAGCTGTCGCACAGCAGACCAACAGAACAAAATCTCAACATTCAGAACAAGACTTTCAAGATTTTCAAACTGTACCTGTCGCTGTTGCAGTTTAGCTGTTACCATGTCGACCAACAGGAAGTGCACAAGAATCTGAACAGGAACTACAATGTGGCTGTGACTTAAATATTTCCTTCCTTATCTTAGTTCTTATCTCAGACTTCTCTTTTATCTTTCTTTTTTGTTCACTTTTTAAAAGAATGGCTATGAAGTGCTTAGGCCTGTTTTAGTAAAAACAAACAGAAAAACTAAAATGCATAAATATCCAAGGTGGCTACGTACAGTTTTATTTACAGATTTACGGTATGCCATAGTTGACATACGTCAGCCAGTGTCTGAGACTGTTCAGTCCCTCTCTCATGGACCTGAAGTGACTGAACTAATGAACTTGGGCCTGGAAAATGTTCCCTGACTCCCTCTAGAACCCTGTCCAGATCTGATTCTAGACTTCGAGATATACAAACTGAACTTCTAGGGCAATGTTTATCCCTGTTCTGTATAAATGTGGATTCCTGGTTTACTGCCATATATTAATGTTAGTTCTTTTTATGGTGATTGTCTTTTTTTTTCTTTTTTTTTTTTTAATGATATGTCAAACTCTGTCTAAGCAAATCTCAATGATGACTGTTCCCCTTGAAACGTGTAATTGGACATGAAGTTATTGCTTTGGACCTCATTGAGATGTGGACGAGAAACAGGAAAAAGACTTTTGGTACTATGTACCACTAATATGTTTTCTGACGTATATGTGTGCTTAATCTATAATATATTTAAATGTGTTTGATTTAAATACATATATTGTTGAAACGCCTCTTGATGCAGTGTTTGTCTTTTGTTTTTGTTTATGGGTTCGATTGAACAAGCGTTTTACAGATACCTGTGTAGGCAGGACTTATTGATTTGCACTTTGAAATTGGATTTGTGCCAATATATAAACAAAATGAATAGAAATGAATGAAGAAAATAAGAAACCTATAAAAAAAAGCCAAAATGTTCTTCAAAGAAAAAGCATTAAAAAATGCACTTTTCCTTTTCGCTGAGCAGAAAAGTTGTCTTACAGATACAGGTTCTCATTGGCTAGTGAGTTTTGGAGTGACATTACTTATTAGTTTGTAGTGTGCCTGTTTTTTTAAAGTTATGATTTTCCCATTCAGTTTCCCTTTGTTTTAAATTTTTTTTTTTCAGTCTTTCACTTTTAAGCATTTTTCAGGATTTTAAAGCATTTTACATTCTTGCAAAAGAAAGCTGAGCATAACTAGAAATAAGTAAAAAAATAAAAAAAAATATATAAATATATATATATATATATATATATATATACTGTAGAGGTTTCCATGATGGTTGTGCTCTATTTGATGCTCAATATTTGTTAATTTGTTGTTTCTATTCTCATAGTGCACACATATTACAAGTGAAAAGTGCACGGCGCGGTAAATCACCACCAGAGGGCAGCGTAAGACACTTTTACACTTTTTGAAAATAGGCCTCCGTCAGAATCTTAATACGAGATCAAACGTAAAATAAAGTAAAAGTAAATAATACCTGATTTATTGTTGTTTACGTTTTTTATTCATTTGGGTTGTTGAATTATACTTGTTCATCTCATATTTAATAATGTGCTTTTATCAGTGCGAGGATGTTAAGGTTAGGCAAGGTAACGAAACTCGGGGCGTGAAATTATAATGATGGCATGAGTTTATTACACGTTTGAGGGTTTGAAAAAAAAAAGTGTGTGATTCAGATTTTCATGAATCAAAAACAAGTTTGAACACCTTCGCAGTGGCGGTGACGCCCACATCCATGTGACTGTGGGAAGCGTGCAGCGCAGTAAGTTTGTGCTCTCACTCCTGCAGCGCGCGAGCCGAGGAAGATGATGATGATGATGATGATGGTGGTGGTATGTGGGCTGTGAGAAGCGCAAACAGAGCGGATTCAGATCTTACTACATTGTGAGCACCTGCTGGTGGCAGTTCTGAGTGCTTGAGCTCTGGGTGTGACGGTTGTCTTTTGTCCCGCACCTGCTTCCTCTCAGATGAACTGGAATATCTTTTCTATTGAACTGGATCGTGCTGGAATTACATTTAATTGATAAAGTTACGCGTGCTTCTGCTCACTAGTTCACTGGTGCGTCTGTCTTAACGCATCTTTAACTCATGTGTTTATGTGATTATTGGTGCTCATCTAATGTCACACAGTGAGTGAGCGTGCTCCAGATGCACGCGCTGTTTGATCGGAATTGGAAAGGGCTGGGAATCGATCTGTCTCCAGTCTCGTTGCCCCACGTTACCGTGAGGATGTTCAGCTGTGTCGGGTGTTTTTGGGTGCTCCTGTCCTCCGCCCTGGTCGCGATTTGCAGTTTTAGTTTCATCTCTCCCGCATGGATAGTGAAGGAGCACCTGAAAAACAAGGACGCAGTGAGTTTCGGGCTCCTGTGGCACTGCTCCGAGTCTCAGGATCATATGTACAGATGTTACACCTTTGGCGGGCTGGGCAAATTTCAAGAGATTCCTTCAAGCTCTTGGCAGGTAGGCTGGATATGGATATATGCATATAAACATGCACTAACTCATAACAGTATGAAATGTATTAGCTATAAAAATTGAGGATACCGCAACTTTTGAATAAAACGTAGCCTAACCTGCGGAATTACAGCATCAGTCTTAAACTCACATAGCGGGACTTTTCTGTCCTAGGCTTTGATTTTAAAGACAAATATTTCATTTGAACATTTTCTACTTGTAAAGAATAAATTCAAACAGATAAAGTTTTTTTTTTAAATTATAAAACCATTTATGAATTTTTGTATCTTTTGAAGAGTTGAAATGTTAGAGTTTGATCTTTTTCTCCATCCAGACATTTTAAATTCCTCATTATAAATTAATACAAAGTATTAACATCAAGGAAATGCAATGTTGCGTTTTTTTAACTAAAAAGGAAAAAAAAAACATCACAAAAATGTCATTTTGAGATTTTTTTTAACATAATGTGAGTAGATTTAACTTGTCCGTATTTGAAAAAATAAATCCGAAAGAATGGATATATTTTAATTTGCTTACACTGAAAGTTATTTGACACTTTTGTTAGCAACTCCAGTGCTTATTCAACTTATCCTCTTGAAGGCAATCTCAAAAAAGTGAAACAACTGTCAATACTATCACACACTATATCAAGAATCCACGTCATCATGCAATATACCAAATTAGATTATACCTCTTGGTTGGTTGTTCAAGTCCATATTAAGATCTTTATACTAGGACATGTAATGAATGTTTTAACAAAGACAAAACCATATAGTGTGAAGAAGTTTCCTTTTACAAGATTTTCCTTTTGTCCTAATTGAATAATCGCCCTTATATTTTTATACACTCTTGCTTTAAAAAAAAAAACATGGATTGTGAAAGTAAAATAGATAACCACATGGCATAGATGGCTCTTGGCACGTTCCTTGTTTTTGATGGGGAAAGAAGAGCATCCGTTGCTTATCTCAGTGCAGGACATAAGAGTTTTGCTCATTTGACATACACAGGTCTATTCTTAGCAGCAAAGTGCATGAATTAAAAGCCCATAAAACAAGAGTCGAAATGGGACCATCCCAGTAAATGCTGATCAGTCCTACTGGTAAAAATAAAAACATAGTTTTTCATAGCCTGTTGAAATTTCCTTTTGTAGTTTACAAACTTGTAAAGGTTAAAATTTATCTGGTGTGTCTTAAAACTGGGTCACTTGAAAATGGTCAACACCTAATCAAAGGGGACTGTGTCAAATAAGGCTCAAGATTTCTGGAATGGTTAGTCAAGACCGTGAGTATGTGTTTATTAGGCTTTATCTGACAGTCCTCACTAATGTTTGTCAATTCAGAGCTGATTTTTCTTGGGGAACATCTGCCTGTAGCAGCTTCATCATAGTCCTTTTTTCACTTTATGAAACAGTTTGACCCTAAAATATTTAGCATTGTAAGATTTAGCCTCTCACATGTACTGTACTATGATAGGGATGATAAGGCTAAAGGTCACCTGGAGTAAAAGGCCCCTAGGATGTAATTTTCTCCTTAAACACTACCTGGCAACAAAAACACTACAACTCTTTCCAGAACACCTGTTGTACTGAAACAGATTTTTTTTCATACATGGGAAATGTGGATTTATTGTGATGGATGTGCAAAGTGGGCTCATATTGACAGCTTCTGACATAATGGAGATTTATGTGTGAAATACACGGGAGCTAAAATTGTAGCTCTATACAGTGTTCATTTTGTTAATTGAACAGAAAGTTATGAAATATGTCAGAAAGAAAAGAAGCTAAAGTTGTGTTCTGATGTTTTTTATTTTTTTTATTCTTGCTCCATCAATATTCAATTAAAAATTTTTTTGTCATGGAAGGAGGTCTTTAGACCTGTTGTATTCTAGTCATGATTTTCAATGAGGATCAAATTTCTAAGGACAGTATCCTAAAAATAAATAAATGTTCCAAAATTTTTATTTTTATTTTTTTTTGCATGTCATAGAGGAACCATTTTGGGTTTGCCAAAGAATATTTAAGTGAACAGTTTTTAAACAAACCTATTTTTTTTTAGTGTGAAGAACATTTTAATAATCTAAAGAAGCTACTTCCACTATAAAGAACCTTTAGTAAAATGGGAAGATTGCATGGATGTTAAAGGCTCTTCAAGGAATCATAGATGCCTTTATTTTAAAGAGTGTAAGACAAAATTTGTGTTGTCGGTAAACAACCCATAGGAAGGAAAAATCACAAATGAGATCTCTCTAATGTCTCAGTTGATGCTCCTTAAACAGCTAAAAGATAAATGCAGTGCAGTAAATGGAGATGTTTAACAGATCTCAACAAGGTCACTAACTGTACTCAGATCTAAGTAAAAAGAGACTTAACTAAATAATATTTAAACTATATAATATTTTCAATGCTTTGTGGAGGCTTTCCATTGACTTCAGTTGTTTTTAAATTAAGCTGCATCCCTACCCTGCCTCTAAAAATACATCTTACACAAGCCTCTTCATGGTATTACATTTTAATTTATACATTATTTTATTTCAGTTGTCCCAGAAGGACATACATAAAGTCCATTGTAATGTAGTTTAGCATCTGTGCTGCCCTGTTTTCAACAGACCTTTTACATTTCAGATAATACAGAACACAGTAGTCTTCCTCTAGTTCCCTTAGTGTTGTACCCAAAAGCTCTCTCTCGCTCTCTCTCTCTCGCTCGCTCGCGCTCTGTTTTCTCTGAAGCACAAGCAACCTTGTGTCTTATGATTTATGTATGGATAAAAAATTAGCATATGAAAGGAGATATTAATAAGTTGCATTTCTTGGATTTGTAGTAGAATTTGAAGGGCGGAGGATAAAGATGTTCTGTCCATACTCAAGGCATTCAAGAAGGAAAGAAAGGAATGGGACTAATGTTTGGCAGTGATGTGTGCGCAGCTTCTGCTAAATGCTTCAGTACCTGACTGCTGAATCATTTATTTATGAGCATTGTTAGCACTGCCATCTTTGTTGTTTTGGAGGTGAAGGGTTTGATAATGTTTGAGTAAGCTATAAAATGTACATCTTTAAAGCTGATGCGCGTAATTATATTTTCAGTGTTAAAATACATTGTCCTCTCAGTTTAATGTACTGAGACAACTATAGGTAAGTCATTGGTAGATTTACTCCTCAAAGAGTGTAAACACTGTGGCTTTGTGCTGCTTTCAACATTGAGTTTGAGTGTTTGGTCGACTTCTGAATTAACCAATAGTGTGAGTTTGGGGTCTGGCTGACTTCCATAGTTTTTTTCCCCCCATACTATGGAA